GGCATACTATTTTGGGAGTGTATATGAGCGTGTACCATGTACGGTAGCTCATCTCTCATCGTGGGACATAGTAGACAAATTAGAGAGAAAACAAGGAGGTATGAGTATTAGTTATATGTAAACAAACAAAACAAAAGAAGAGAAGACGAAAGAAGAGCAGAAAAATAAAACGGGGATAAAGTAGATAACAAAGAAAAGAAACGTAGGCAGATTATTAGAAAAGGCATTATCCGAGACTCAGCAATCAAATGTCACTCCCGCCGAGATCTCAGCGAAACCCTCCCCGCCGAGACCCGCACAGCCGAGCTCGGTAGAAAAAACTAAGTGTTTAGATAGATTAGTAGGAAAATAAATAAAACTACTTTATGACTCAAAGTGCAATGAATGAGCGTTAGTTTCGGGATCATTTCAGTGTTAGAGTTATGTTAGTTTTGATCCGTAATCAGCCCTGCCGGCCAACATTAGTTGCAGGCAGTGGTTGTTAGATCATGCGGCACTGTAACTACTACTATTTTAGAGGTATGATTCGTCAAGTTTATACAACTCAATGTTTCAATTGAGGCAAACTATCTATCTTACTATTACAAAAGCAAACCTAAGCTTACAATTATATGCAAATGCAAAATGAAACTTGACAAATCATCGTCAATCCCGTCAATCCCGAGGGGGGCGACACATCTACATCTCAATGCTAGATACTCAACAAATTTCACATTAGCGAATCAATATTCGAAAAATCTTCTTTCATTTCTTTAATATACTTGCATCGTACATAATCTTTTTGAAGAAAATCTTCAGAATCGTAATCAATCTTCTTTGTATCTACTCAGCGTGCGCGCAGCTTACCACATCAAAACACAAATTTTCATGCATCGTAGATAGAGTCACCCCCCTCGGTCAATCTTCTTATTCCAGGGCAGGGCCTGACGATTTGAATCTAATTTTGATCAGTGAACGGACACCATATGGTACATTTTCTCACCATGAACCTATCATTTCCAGCCTATCTGAACTATTTATTAAATGGAAGCCATAACATGGGTTACGCTCCCCCTAAGCGGGCCCTCCGCATCCTGTCTCTGTCTTATCTCAAATACAAAATGCCAATGGTATGAATGTATCTCTATATAACTTGGAAATGACGTACAATCAAATAAAACCGTAACCCACTCACTTGGCCAGGCTTCAGAATCGTCCAGTGGGCAGTGCGCTCTACACTCCAAGTTCGCTTTTTTTTCAAATTTACCGCAAATTTGATATTTTACCCATTGAGTGTTGATTAATCACAATGAAACATTGTGACTGAGGTTGAGGTTACTAGTGTATTAAATAATCTAGGTCCTATTTAGGATTATATCTGAAAAATCCAAATCTGGCCAACGCCCACCCTAAACCTAAACCTGTTCTAATCCACCTGAAATGACTAACGAATGGAAGACTTTGACTACCCAGCCATGCAATAGTCTCATTCCGTGCCATATGGCAACTTGATGATTCCCCATTGCAGACGTCAACGAAATGACGTCATCGAGCTATCGATCAACTACCCTGGTTATCGCCTGGTACCTTATAGCACGATGCTAGGAGGCGAACCGGAAGAATCGATGAGCTACCTCCCCCCTCCTGCACTTTTTAATTTTTCTCGTTAAACACCTTCTTTCAACAAGTTGGTAAATTTTAGCCTTGAGCAGAAAGACGCTTAACACTTTTTTCGGAGAATTTATGATCCTGTTTCACGTGATGGTTCTTCTCTATGCCTGTACAGATAAATTAGTACTTCTATTTATTTTCTCTACTGCACTAAGTCAAACAAGTAGAAAAAAGAAGGGATTTCGGTTACGTGAACTGAAAATTTTGATTGAACTTTTAGGCATTCCTAGAAACTAGTGTAATTTCATGTTTTTCTGGTAGTCCTTCGAAAATGTCGAACAGCAGACCTGCAACCAGCAAGTGTAACCCAAGAACCAAAAGCGGTAATAATACACAATTAAATTTTTCAACTATAGATCAAGGTTTCGACCATCTCAGATGAATTAATTTATCAGGAAAAGTGAAAAAGTGTTCCACTTCCAATGTCTCACGGCGAAAAATTCTGCTCACAACACTCTTTTTGACGTTCTCATATTCACCACCAGGGGTTGAATCGATCGCTTAGTTTCTATTAGGCTCTGAACCATTTGGTGGATTATTTAAACTTTTGGTTAAAATTTGACAGATGAAAAGTTATCGATTAACCCTGCTATCCGAGCGTGGTTACTTCTGACAGACAAGAAGTTAAATTTTGACAACTGTGACTGAGTTCTTCTCGAAAACCGGTCGATCGACAGCACAGGGATTTTCGAACATAGAAAATAACTTTCGAAATGTCACTTTTAACCATGAGTTAAAATTAACTCGGCAAATGGTTCACAGCCTTAAAAAGGCGTTTTGCGATTGGCATCTTGCAGTGAACCTTTTCCAAGCTTTCGCCACCTACATTTCGAAGTGAGAACTACTAGAAGGAGGATAGTTTCCAAATTTTCCAAGTAAAACAGACGCTTTTTGGGGCAAATCGGTCCATAAAGAAAAACTAATAATTTCCCGTGGAAACTTTTGCTTGAATCGTGTAAGAAAACGTGTTTGAAAACTATTTGTTATTATTTCGGTATGGATCGGAGATGTTTTCATGACAAATTATGCATAACAAGTTTGCACCCACAGGGAGAGGTTACCTCCTGCGCAGCTGCATTTTTCAGAAAATGGTAAATATGTGCGATTTTCACTAAGATGAAAGTGGAAATTAAGTGAATTTACTTAGGAAAGGTTGTATCATGCTGGTGGTAATAGAGAATTGGTTGTATAGGACGCCAATAAATGTTCATTTTGGCCTTTTTTAAGCAAACATATTGATACTCACAATTTTCGACGGAAAACGCACCGGAACTTGATTTACTCAACACGCACCATGCTATAAAATGGTGCTAGATGGTCTTCAAAGTGATAACAAGATGACAAATCATCTTTATTTTGATTAATTGAGCAATTTACTTCTGTTTACCATCATATTTACGATGCAGCATTGATGGGGCCGTGAAATGAAATGAATATATCTTGAAAAGTTCACCTAGAAAAGTCAAAGATGCGCATCAGTCTGATCGTAAAAACGTTTTCTTCTTCAATTCGAATGTTATATTGGAAGGATTTCACGCAGGCTTGATGAAAGTTATGATTTAATGCTAATTTTCACGAATTTTATATACAGTCTGTCAACATTATCATCATCATGCAGTGGCGACATCTGCGTTGAGCTTTTGCGGCAATGTTCCAATAGCAAGATTCTTACTTGTTTGTGATTGCTCCGATTGTGAATCATTACCACTTTATACGCAACAGAAACACTTTAGAAAACAGTGACACATCCAAGCGCGCATCATGCCTGTAATATTTTTTGCTTTCGAGCGAAATAGTTTCCAATATACCACCGGTATCAGTAGGATGCAAATCTCTTGATTTGCGGAGCTGGTGCTCAACATAATCTTAATAAGCATAGAAGTTAATATGGGAAAAACATTCACTCTCTCTAAAGAATTATTCCAACACCCCAGCCACTGGAAATGCAACGTATCGAAATCATTGCTAAACGTAATAAAATGTGCCGTCTTCTTTGGCCAATGCAACACGCATTCTATTCAGAAAATTACGTTGGACTAATCATTACTTTCCTATTTTATAGCGTAGGAAGTATTTGTCAACGCCGGTGAAAGCAAACGCAAACGGAAGTAGCCCAAGCTGAATGATGACGATGAGTGATGACACCGCTTCGTGTTTTGATTTGCACTGTACTGTCCGCTCAGTTGTGTGGGTTCGTACATGTTGTGAGTGTTTTCTTCCAACGCTGCAGTTCAACGTTGTCTCGTCACAAACCGTTTGGCGCTGTTATCTGTCTCTTTAAATTCCAAAGAGTGAAGGGGGTCTGCTTTAATGGTAGCCTGATATGCGACAACTTCAATACCGGGGAATTCGGGAAGATTCACTCTATAGAAGGAATGGCACTTTTTGATTATCAAAAGTACCCCTCCTCCACGTGAATACTCACGATCCAATCAAATAATGTTAAATGAGCCATGTTTCACAGAGGGCAAATGGGCGTGTGGTTCTGAATATGGCAATGAGTGTGCAAAATGTTACACAATTGCATTGCGAATGCCACTTTGACTTGTTTCGTCTACCAACGACTGTCTGATGATAGTATTGGTGAATCAGCAATGCTACATCGACATGTTTCGTCTAGAGACGATTCTCTGGTGACTGTGTTGGGGAAGCATCAATTTCATGTACGCAATTGGTGGATTTGTTAGCTATTTAGACGCTTTTGGACAATAATGCTTGACATTTACCACTTTTCAATAGCCTCTTGTTGAAAATCAAGACTCGAGAGCTTTGTTATCGATACGTAGAAATATTTCTGATCGATTGGTGATAAAATTATTGAAATTGGTCCAGGGGCAGCTGAGTTATTAATGCTCAAAATCTTTCATAATTTCGTTACATATAACAATAAAAAACAACAACATATAAAAAACAGCTTTGCGTTTTTTATCAGTTACATTTCGATCTGACATCCTGTACCATACCACGAAAAGGTTATCCACCCACGTTATGGGTTAGTCAAGACAATGTACTGAGAAACGCGCAGGAGAAAGAAAAGCAATGTATTAACATGTTTAATTTTAGCAGAGAAAAGCGACGATTACACTGACACAAAATTTCAGTTTGAATACAGTCCGAGCTACGATGTGAACAGATTTAGAATAATTTGAATTTTTGTTGTCATCTAGAACTTTTGTTAAGCAGGATTTGATTTACGTAGAGCCTAAATTGGCATTTATTGCGACATTTGCTCAAAATCTCTGACAGAAGTTCATCTCAAAATTTGACTCAACTTAGTTATTAATTGTTCCGATAAAACACAGCCCAGTCCCATTCCTATAGATACAACACTCACATTATTCAAGAAATAAGAAACTCAGCTTCGACGCAAAGCCGACAATCACAACAGCGAAAATTGATCCAATCGATCCGGTCATTCGACTTCCAGCTCCGTACGTCCTGTACTTGTCCGCAGTGGCTGTGAATTCGTTGAGATAGTTATTTCTCTGCTCACTCTTGGTGTTGATCTTCAGGTATGGTCCAAAAAGCCCTTAAACAGTAGCAAATGCTGTTAAAATTTACTGTCACCGAGAAACCGACAATACACTTACGATCCGCCGGTGGCCAGAATGAGACATCCTTCGCACTGGGGACCCCTCGAATGGCAAACGACGTCCATAGTTGAACCATGGTCTTCGCCATCTTGATATCATCCGCATTCAACTCCTCCCTCGGGAACAAATACTGGAGATCTTCGGCATGGTGAACCGCTCCTTTATGCGGGAATGGCACATTTAGGTTCTTCTTCGTCAACGCACTGGAATAGTCGAAACTGTAAAGGTACACGTTGCCTGGATTCACACGGGAAAAGGCATGGATCTCCGTCACTACGGGGGCCTTTATTCCATGCTTGCCGCAAATCTAATAGGATGAGTCAATGATTAATACCCCAATCTGAGTAACTTGAAATGCTTAATAATCTCACATCAGTCAAACTTGCCACAAGATCCTCCCATCGCAGCTGATCGATTTCTCGCATCAGGAAGTTATCGCCAAGGGCATACGCCTCCAAGGATCCATCGTGATTAGTATGACCAAACTTTCCATGCAGTGTGCGAACGTAGTGCAGCAATTCGTGGGAACTGTTCAGTGACTTGAGAAGTTGTGGTTGCAGTTGGTGCAGCTCGTCCAGCAGAAATAACCCATCCTGCGAAGTTGTGCCAGCCATGACGGCAATGTCTTTGTTGGAGCTTTCAAGGTAATTTATGGGATGCTGGGGAAACAACTCCGAGGGACCTCCGACTACAATGCCTGTTCCGGCTACATACGGATATCCACGGTTCGTAACGGTTTCCGATCGATGAGCTGCGAATGCTTCCAGGAGACTTCTTACGGAGGCTCCACGAAAACACTGTTCCATGCTGGTTCCCGTACAGCCCAAGCGTCTAACGATATCGTTGGTTCCATCCAGAGGTTCATCGCTTATAGCCCACGGAGCAAACACCGATCCGGATTGAAGAATCGCTTTCTGGAACAAAGGCACCATGCGACTTTGGACCAAGGGGCTGTGAAGCATTACGGAAACGGCAGCCGCTCCAGCAGATTCACCAAAGATCGTCACCTGAGAGCTGTTTCCACCAAAGTACCCTATGTACTGTTGAACCCAGTCCAATGCAGCTATAACGTCCAGCATTCCAACATTTCCAGGAATATCAGCGTTCATGGCACTTAGGAACCCGAGCGGTCCCAACCGGTATTGAATCACGACCAACACTATGTCCGATTCCAGAAGAAAGTCCGGTTTGTAATCATCAGCACCCCCCGCGAAAAACCAACCTCCATGAATGTACACCATCACCGGGTGAACGGTATCTAACTGAAAAGTGCAAACCGATTAATCATCGCTCTGATATGAAGCACTTGATGTCGTAACCTACACTGTTGGAATACACTGATAAGGTGAGGCAGTCTTCGTTGTCAACGTTGTCCGAAGTTAGCTGCGGACATCGAATGCCGGGCTTCGATGCATCCTTGGTACCACTCCAGGCACCGACCTTCACTGTAGGTCTAAACCGCAAATCTCCAATCGGGGCTTGACCATACGGAATACCTTGAAAGCTGTAGATCGTCCTGTTCGTCCATGATGTATGTCCAACCGATCCCTGAACGTTTCCCAGCCCTTGGATGTTAACGATCGGCGTAGAGTGTTGTCCATAGCAGGTAATTACGCTGGAAACGATCAATATCACAATGGATGTCGACCACATTTCAATAGGTTTGGAGAAGAACAGCAACGATGAATAACTGAACTGAAACAAACAACGACAAACAGCCTTTTGAACAGAGAACAACTCGTCGGGTACTATTTTTATCATTTCGCTATTAACTACTATTATTCGTTCGTTATGGTGGTGGTGGAAGCGGTTGTTGTGGTTGTCCACCTGTTGGCCGGCATTATCAGATTTTTGACTTTGGGATAGTGTTTGATTTGTTTGTTCTTCGATTCCGTATGCACTGATAGTACAGGGTGTGGGATATTTTTCGAGATAAAATGAGAGTCTTCTGCAGTGCTGTCTTATCATCTCAGATTATAACGAATATGTTACAGACACGGGACAAATTGTAAAAATGTAGTTCGAGATATACAAGATAGCAAAGCTTGTAAGCCTCAGCTTATCCAATCCTACAGTCAATCAGTTTGAAGATAACATTTACGGTGGAAAGCTACTACCGCTATTATTCTTGGATTAAATCTTGATCTCTTGACTGCTTTGGCATCAGACTGAATCAACACGACTCTGAGCAATCATTTTGCAGATCACCAAAACAAGGTAGGTCTTACAATTTAATCCGAGTTGGAACTTATCGCTACTAGCGATTAGAGCTATATTTACGGAGATAAATCGATTTAAAGGTTAAGAAGACCCACTAGCCGACAAATAAAGGTTTATGAAATATTTTATACTGGGAAATCATCTAAACACCCCTCAAATCGCGATAAGAGCTACATTTACGGAGATAAATCGATTTAAAGGTTTGGAAGACCCACCAGGCGACAAATAAAGGTTTATGAAATATTTTATACTGGGAAATCCGGGTATGAAAATTTCGATCATCTAAACACCCCTCAAGTCGCGATTAGAGCTATATTTATTGTTTATTGTTTATGAGTCAACAGGTAAAATGTTTACCCCAATGACACCTGTTCTACAACTAAATACAAAACTAACGAATAACATAAATTAACATAAAATTTGTTTAAATCGTACACATAATAACACCGGTTGAATACACGGGACATACTTCGCAAAGGTTCGTGAAAGCCATAATTAGTTCTTGCCGGAGGGATGGTGATAAACGAGTGCGACCGAAGATTGCGACGACGTGTGTTGATGTCCAAGAAACTAAGCAGCGTAGGACTGTCAATGTTGCCTTGCAGAAGATCCCCAACAAAGCACGCTTTTGCCACGTTGCGTCTTGCTTCTAGTAATTCCAGATTTATAAGTAGACAACGGCTTTCATAACTGGGCAGGTTGAATGGATCTCTCCACCTAAGATGACGTAGAGCGAACCGGACGAATTTTCGCTGAACAGCTTCGATGCGTTGAGATTCATTCTGGTAATAAGGAGACCAGACGATAGACGAATACTCCAAGATAGGGCGCACAATTGAGCAATATAAAGCTTTTAGGCAGTAAACGTCCTTGAACTTTTTTGCAAAGCGAAATAAAAATCCTAGTTGCGATGACGCTTTAGACACAACGTACGCGACGTGATCGTTGAAGGTTAATTTTGTATCAACCAGAATCCCCAGGTCCTTGACTGTCGAATCACGTTGTAGATTCACGCCTCCCAAAGCATAGCTAAAATGGAAGAGTGATTGCTTGCGGCCAAATGAAATAACCGAACATTTGGACACGTTCAGCGACATTCGATTAATATGACACCATTCAGCGAAGGCTTCCAGTTGTTGTTGCAGAAAAAACGCGTCTTGTGGTTGCTTAATCGTGTAGTAAAGCTTCAGGTCATCGGCATACGAGAGTTTTAGGCATTTCAAGATGAAATTGACATCGTTCATATACAGCAAGAATAGAAACGGCCCCAAGTGACTTCCTTGGGGAACACCGGACCAAACCGGAAAGGAGGGGGAAACGTGGTCTCCAATTTTGACGAACATAATTCGACCGGTTAGGTAGGATCGAAGCCAGGAAAGCAAGTTACTGTTCATTCCCAGCTTGTCGAATTTAGCAACTGCGATTTGATGATTCATTTTATCAAACGCCGCGGATAAGTCTGTGTAAATAGCGTCTACTTGTTGACCATTTTCTATTTGGCGGATCACGAACGAAGTGAAACAAGTCAAATTAGTTGTCGTCGAACGGTTAGGCATAAATCCGTGCTGATCAATCGAAATGTAGTGTGCGTAGTTCTGAACCAGCTTATGCAGAACGATCACCTCAAACAGCTTAGAAGTGGCGCTCAACGCAGCTATGCCCCGATAGTTCGAAACAATCCGCTCGCAGCCTTTCTTGAAAACTGGGAAAACATACGACTGCTTCCAGCAGTTTGGGAATACACCAGTATCCAAAGATAGGTTGAATACTCTTGCTAGTGGTGTTGCTATATTTACGGAGATAAATCGATTCAAATGTTTTATTTATTTTTTTTTTTGACCTTTTAACAGTTGTCATTTGGGTCCTTTAAAACTGGATGTTTAATTACATTTTTGTTTTTGATTTTAACCTCTCTCAGATTGTGTTTAAAAGCTGTTATTCCTCAAGAAATTTCAACACTTTTTTGGCCGTTTCCTCATCATCCGCAAGAGATTCTTTTAAGTTGTCCGTTAGCCCTGCTTTTTTCCGCTCCCTTCCTAACTCGATACAGTCCACAAAGATATGTTTAACAGTTAAATGGCTATTACAAAATCTACATACGGGAGGATCTTCCTTGTCTAGTAGGTATTTATGTGTTAGTAAGGTGTGCCCTATTCTTAGTCGTGCTAGAATAACGCTTTCTTTTCTCGTTGTTCCTACCGCTCGCTTGTAAGGTTTTACGCTATGCTTTACTTCTCGCAGCTTGTTATTACTGGTCGATGTCCATTCAACTTGCCATTTGTGGTTTGTATGTTTCTTTATCAATGTTTTCGATTCTTTGAAGTCAACGCTTTCGATGTCTACATGGGTTGCTTCTAATGCTTTTTTGGCTTCTTTATCTGCTCTCTCATTCCCAGCTATCCCTATGTGACTGGGAACCCAGCACACCACTACTTCTGTTCCACTGCATCTGATTTGATTGTTTATCATAGTTACTTCATCTTTCCAATGGTTTTTAATTCTTCGATTTTCCAACGCAGATACCACACTCAGCGAATCCGTGCATATAATGTAGGCCCCCACTCGCTCTTGGCTTGCCACCCAGCTTAAGGCTTCCTTAATCGCTATACTTTCGGCACTAAATATACTACTAATGTCATTCACTCGTTTCCTTAGTATTGTATCCCTGACCACTACACTAAACCCGCATCTTCCGTCCTTTTTTGATCCATCCGTGTATTTCGGCGTGTGGATTCTGTACTTGGTGTTCTTCATTTTTCCAAATGTTCGCTGCAGTTCTGTATAGCTCGTCCCTTGTTTACAAAGCAAATGTAAACTTTTGTCAACCCGAATCGGTTTCCTTTCCCAGGGTGGACATTTTGCTCGAGTGAAAGTCTTCGTTGGTGGTAATACCAAGTTCAGTTCTTGAAGTACTCTGGTTCACCTGATAGTCACGGTATTCGCTTCCCTAGCCGGTTCAGATCCCCAAATTTCGCCAGAGCTATCGTCCTCGCCGCTCGAGGCATTTGAAGAACTCTCACTGTTGTTTTCTTCATTGTGAACTTCGTGATATCCACTCAATCCTGCTTTGCGTGCAACGAAAATTGCCGGCCGCTCTTCTAGTAATGTTCTCAAATCCGGTATTCCCGTCTCTACTTGTAAGCTAACGACGGGGCTCGTCCTAAAAGCTCCAGTCAATGCTCTAAGTCCCGAATTATGCGTCGTTTCAAGGTACTTCAAAGCACTTTCATCTAGTCCTTACAATATTGGAGCAGCGTAAAGTATTTTTTTCTAAAACAGTAGCGCGATATATTTTAAGTAGAGTGTTCCTATCACCGCCCCAAGCCCTAGCAGCAATGCTACGAATGAAGTTGATTCTTTGTTGACAGACAGCTTTCACTTCTTCAGCGTGTTTTCGAAATTTCATGAAGCAATCCAGTGTAATTCCCAAACATTTGTGGCTTGTGTTAAGAGGGATACCGATTCCGTTCAGGTGCAGTGTTCCTGAAAGACGGGGTTTACGTGAACGCGGATTACGAAAAACTACCGTTGCGCTCTTCTCTGCAGATATTGTATATCCTGTTTGGTACTGCCAATCTTCGATCTTCGTTAGCGCTGCTTGAAGTGTATCTCTGATGCTTTCAGAGTTTTCTCCAGTTGCAATGAGGATCACGTCATCTGCGTAAAGAAGGCATTTTACATCTGGTGGTAAGTATTGCATGATTGTATCGATCGCGATTAGGAACAGTGTTACACTGAGAATTGAGCCCTGGCATAATCCCGTCTCCATGCTCTTTTCGTTTGAAAGTGTGCCATTTACCAGCACGTTGAACGTTCTTCTTTCCAGCATTTTATGCAGGAACCGTAACATAGATCCATCAATTTTTCAATCTTTCAGTCTCTGCAGTATAAGTCTCCTCCAAGTCGTATCGTAAGCCTTTGTTACATCCAAAAACACAACCTGTGCATATTGTTTCTTATTTAGTGACTCCCTGATAGTTTCCTCGAGTACAGCTAAATGATCGACGGTTGTTCTACCTTTTCTAAACGCATACTGGTGCTTACTCAAGAGTTCATTAGACTCCAGAACGTGCACCAAGCGATTATTAACCATTCGTTCGAATACTTTTCCGACGCAACTGTTTAAGTATATTGGGCGATAGTTTCGTGGATTGACCCGTTCTCCTTTTCCTTTATATAAAGGAACCACAATGGAACGTGTCCACTCTATAGGAAACATACCCTCAACCCATAATCTATTGTATGCTTCGAGTAACTGAGTCTTGCAATCTATTGGTAGATTAGCAATCATCGCGTAGTGCACTCCATCCGGTCCAGGCGACGAACCCTGTAGGCCTTCGAGGGCTTCTTTTAGCTCGTGATACTGAAATGTTTGATTATATTCAGAATCATTTTCCTCGTCGATTTGAAACTCCTCTGCTTCCGCTGCTTCTTTCCACTCTGTGAACCTCGTACCATAAGCTTCGTTACTAGATATAGCTTGGAAGCTATCTCCAAGACAATTTGCTATACCGTTATCATCTA